GATCTACTACGACAATCCCAAGCGCAAAAAGTCATGGGTTAGTCCAGGAGAGTCATCCACATCGACACCAAAGCGGAATATTCATGGCCATAAAGTCTTGCTGTGCATATGGTGGGATCAACAAGGTGTAGTGTATTACGAACTGCTAAAACCAAATGAAACTGTTACTGCAGATGTCTACCGACGGCAATTGACCAAATTGAACGACGTATTGTTGCAAAAAAGACCAGCAATAGCGAGTAACAGACGCAAAGTCATCCTCTTGCATGACAACGCCCGGCCACACGTTGAAAGAGTTGTGAATGATACACTGTTACAGCTCGAATGGGAAGTTCTGCCGCACCCAGCGTACTCGCCAGACATAGCACCTTCTGATTACCACTTATTCAGATCGATGCAGCATGGCTTGGCTGGTACACGATTTCGGAATGCCGAAGAAGTGCGAAAATGGATCGATAATTGGATCGCTACCAAACCAACATCGTTCTTTCGACACGGTATCGCCATGTTGCCAGAAAGATGGAAAAAAATTGTAGAAAATGATGGAAAATATTTTGATTAAAATACATTGTACCAATTTTTCACAATAAATGCCTTTTCAAAGTGAAAAAGTGATCAGAATACATGCAAGCACCCAATACATCAAAAGGACTAGAATTCGCGAAAAACAATCGTTTCTATAATATAACATTTATCACCTCCGAAATATCGTGCGACCATTATGCAAATTGCGGTATATTGTTATGTAAAAGTCCCTATAATTGAAACTGTCCATAATCGTGTCATTGCGATTGTATGTATAATATTATGCATCACCTGTTTGACATAATTTACGGGTAAATAAGGAACAGTGCCACCACGAAACGATCCTTTCCACCCCTTTTAACCCTCCCGACGTCCAAGGCTCCCCTTTTCAACTAGGCCATCATTTTTGGTATCGATAATATACTCATTTTATAAGATACGAGGATACCAAAAATTTGTTTTTATCGTAACCTGAAGCAAATGGCAAAACGTCAAAATGTTAGAGTCGCTATTAAGACAAAGAATATTTGATAGAACTTTGAACCTCAAAACGAATCTTCTACGTTCGCCATTGTAAACGAGAGGTCGCGAAAAGGGGGTGGAAATAAAAAACAGGCAGTGTGTCAAAGTGGTCAAGCATCGTTCCCTAATTTCGTTGCCAAACTTGAACTATTTCCAAATATAGAAACATCGGTTTCTTAGCTATTCAATTACAAGTTGAATGTTCCGCTGAAACAGTTTCTCTTTTGCAGATAAAAGGACAAGAAAATCGACGCGGAACAGCTCGATGGAGACCCTCGTGAGTATTGGTTCTTCATAGTATCCGTCGCGGAGGACATTTCTCTCGGCGAAGTCTGTTGAAAGGTAATAATAAAACGACGAGTCTCGCTCTGTCCTGGAGTTGGAATTTTACGAGCCGCATTATCGTTCCGTTTGAGGCGGATTCGCGGCGGATGGTGGCACCGTCGCTCGACGACGACGACGAGAAGAACGTCGTCTCCGCGCTACGTAGTTTCAGTTTCGCGCGACGGGAGGGAGGCCAGTTTACGATTCATAAGACAACTCGACGGATTGAATTAAGCGAGCGGTGCGGCAGCTGCCAGTCCGTTCCTGGTCCGTCCGCGCACCCACCGTGAATCTGCATAATCCCGTTCACGTCGACGATTCTAATTGGCGGATTGTTTCAATCTCTGTCGCCGCGAATATTTGCATTGCTGCCTCCCTCTCTTCGTTTCTCCCCGCATTCTCTCTCGCTCTTTTCGTGCCCATCGTTTCACGGCGTACGTTTGTCTTTCGCCTCCTATTTCATCCCGACCAGCCCCGTCCTCCAACCCTTTTTATGGAAACATTTCCCTCCTTTGCGCATCTTAAGTTCTCGTTTATCTTTGTCTGTTGCCCTCTCCTCTTTGGATATCCTGATCGTTTACCGTTACGATGTCTGTCCTTTGCACCCCTTCTCTTAAACCACCCCTCCCTGCTACGCAACAAAAAGTACGATAATAGTACTCGTAACAATTATTAGTCGACGATTTCATCTTGTCCGTTTCCCATTATTTCCTACAGAAAAGTATTTGTGTCGAGAAATCATTATTTTTGTACGATCTCGAATTTATAATGGATAAACAACGAGGCAAAGCAGTAAATAGGCACTGTTACTACCATTTTAAAGTATCGAAATTGAAATATATCCTAAACTGATTATTTTCTGACGTAAATATTTCGATACCTTTTTGGGAACAAGGTGTTTGCAACATCGAAACATATTTCACACTTATTTTTCTTCACTCTGATTCGCATAGTTGCACCGAAGCAAAAGATCGTATCGTCGGTAGACAATCTCCTTTGTGGGATCTTTTATATCTTCGTTGGAAAAAGAACTACAGCTCGTTCCAGATTCTCAAACCTCCTTTCATACGATAAGAAATTTTACAAGATTCGAGACAAACTTCACTTTAGGGTATTTTTTATAATAATCACACCTCGATACGAGATACGAGAACTACGTAGAATAGCGATGAATTTAACGACGAGTTTAGCGTTTTGAAAGAATGTTCCAAAAAAAAAAAAAAAAAATCAATTCCTGATTTCGATAGATATTCAACTCGTTCGTCTTTACGTCGCGCGACACACGTTCTCATTTTCCTTTCAAGTAACTGCGATCCCTTTACCGTCCACATAAACATTTTTATTGCGGGGTACCTTCTCCCGACGCAAAACGATCTCGCTTTACATAGAGAGAGAGGGGGAGAGAAAAAAAAATGTCAGTCGCAGCGAAACCCGGTTTTTTTTACGGTTGAACTCTCTGCGTAATTCGAACAGTCTTTGCCCGTAAAAGTGCACAATCGACGAAAACAGCGATACAGGAGGAACGACCGGCGTGCATGCAACAAATAACGACGCGACGATAAGAAGCTTTCGTTAGTATTTAAGGTAATGCGCGGTAACGTTATACTTTATGCAACAGACGAGTGATTTTAATGCTTTCGCGAGCTCAAAAATTACACTGCGTTCGTTGAATACAAAAAAGTTACGAACGTAAAGCAAAGCCGATTAATTCGACGAAGAATCGAAACGATTATTGACAGGCGAATGCAATATTTATACGGTATTTAGAATTACCTCGAAATTTTTATTACGAAATTTGGTGCACCGTATGAAATTCGACGGTAGAGTCGTAATCGGACCAAATATTGGGAAACGATTTGATGTTTAATAATGTTTGATAATAAATTATTATCAAATACGATAGTTCTGCAGCGTGCACTAGTTGACCTACTTAAAGGTGGGCATTCTATTATTGATAATAATAAATGCAAACGATTCGGCGGTTCCCATTTCAGTTCTATTAGCAACGTCAAATTATCTATTAACACCGCATATGCGTGCATAAATAATACGTTTTTTGTACGGTCTGCAAAACGTTGGATAATCCGCGAGTATTATGAATCGTGCGTCTTTTCTCGAACTATTCTTCCCCGTATATGTACACTGCATTAAATTATTAGAATTCATCGGTGGAAAAAAGAATTGAAGCAGCAACGAAAAATTGATTAAACACGGAAAGAAGTAACTTAAAAATATACTTATAGAAATAATGTATACGTGAAATTTCGGAGCCTGTTGGTAATTAAAATTTGTTTTAAAGTTATTTGCGGTAGCGACAAAGAGTAATACATTTAATCCAACGACGATTAAAATTTTTTTCGAAATCACAACCAACGAGGGAACCCGCGTTTATTAAATTGCACACGATGTTAATAAAATGAAATGCTTTACGGTTGAAATAATAGTTTCGATCTGTCAATAATAATATTTTTATTATATGAGAATGTTTTAGTATACAGTACCGAGTAACAAATATTTTTACGTTCGTTCTTCAACCGGTAAAGTTTCGTCGGATTTATTTATCGAAACCGAAATACGATGAACTCGTAATCAGTATTGTCGCGTGGCGGAAAACACGCGATTCAAAGGACCGTGCAGGACCAATCTAGGATTGCGTGATGCATTATTACTAAACACGCGATAGACACCGCACGCTCGTATTGCGTGCTAATTTTGAATTGATCTTCTCTATTGAACCTCATTCTTCCTATTTACTTTGCCAACTGAACTTTGATGTTCGTCCGTAATTACTACGTTAACGAATTAGCTCGTTCGAATAAATATTTTCACGCCCAAACGAACACGGAACGGCACTAAATTAATACATTATACCAAATTTCTGTCAAATTTTATTTGCACGACATTCATCGCAACACTTTTAAATCATCAGCGTGCATTGTTTTTGTTCATTTTTAACACGTGTTTACATCCATTTAGTAGTCGAATTATTTAATTTTTTAAATTTCAACAATTTCACTAAAAATTCATTGTAACTTCGCTGTTCATCGACGTTCGAACCCGGCGCGTGAAACGATTCGTACATCTTCACGTGCACGCTTGAACTCCGCGCGAAGTCTCCCTTTGGCGACTCGCGAATTGAACTCTTTAACACTCCGATGGCCGTGCCGGGGCACGTTGCTCGCATCAATTAATTTTCTATGCCGATGATGATTTTCAGCGAAGAAAATTATGTATACAGAGACGTACATTATCATTGGACAATTGTTCGCGATGTAAAGCTGTACTAAAATACTACAGAGATCAAGCAACAAAGTATCTATTTGATCGATAGCACAAAATCCCAATGCAAATAGCGAAATCCTCGACGACGGTCCACGGTTCGCGCTGCAAAACTTCACACGGCCATCGGTATGTTAAGTAACAAGCACCTCGAGGCGATTCTACGTAACACCATTTCCCAAACACCGGTTTATCGTGCAATCTACTGTCGCGTTAACGGTCTTGCAACTCACGTCGTATCCGATCCGATCACTTCCCTCGCGCAAAGTCGAAGAAACAAGCGGAGGAATATGTATATCGGTGAATCGGCCCCAAAACGAGTACGAGAAAGAAATCGGTTAGCGACTCACCTGCACGCGCGGCGACAGGTAGTTCGCGGGGGGGTGTCCGGTTCCTCGACGGTGATCCAGAGACGGCGATCTACGGATCCTGGAGGCGACACCAGCGTCGCGTGCTGCTCGTGCCAGCAAATGAGATAATAATCGGAGGACTCAGTCACTCGTCGTCGGGCACCGTGGCAGGCACAGCGGTGGCAGGGTGGTTGTTCGGCGGCAGTGCTGAAAGTGGGGGTTGTATTCCATCCCTGGCGACCGTCGACGTCGAGAGTGCGATGAAACGACAGAGACGCGGCGTACGCGTGGGCGAGCGAGCGAGAGAATCGGCGGGGGACGAGCACGGACGGTAGGAGGAGGGCTGGAGGCAGAGGGTGGTGGTTTTTGAGATGATCCGGCCAATCTGCGCATCATTTCCCCGATCCACCCCGCGTCGCGGCAAACCGGCGCGGAATCCGCGCCACCGCAAGCACCGTGGAAGCCCTGTTGAATGCCACATTTCGAGGCAACGATGGGAAAGAAGGGGACGCGGCGATCGCGCGGAGAAGGACGCCGTCCGACGGAGGAGGAATAAAGAACGAGATGGAGAGGAAGAGGGCGGCACTAAAAAAAAGGAGAGGGGAGGGGTAAGGGGAGAGAGAAACGAGGAAGAGGACTACAACCGTGCCCCTGCCACGGGGATGAAAAAACGTGGAAAACAGATATAGGCAAAAGGGAATCTCTTTCTCTTCCTACTCTTCGTTCGGCTTCCAACCCCCCCGTTCCACCCTCTTCCTTTCACCCTTGCCGCTGGTGGATGTCTTCGTGTCGCTTCGGTGTACAGACGTATCGAGGGTATGTTTACACTGCCGGGGAAGAATCTGCTCCCGTTCACGATCGGAATATCGATCTTTAATGCACGTCGGAATTGAAACGTGCATGCCTTTACGAGTTTATCTTTGGACGAAAGGCGGCCTCGGTGGAATTAAGTCGAAGGAGGGCCGGGGAATCGCGGACGCGACTAGGAATTATTGACGATACCGGGCAAAGTGTACCTTATTTACAATCTCATTTATGTTTGCGACAAAACTGACTGCGATGTGTCGAAGAGAAAGAAGTAATGTTCGTGCACCTATTATGATAATATAGATACGAAGGTGACCGATATTTCTTAACGATTGTTTAAAACGATTCCCCTGGCGGCGATGAATCGTCCAAAACGACCAACGACGATGTTGCTCTTTCAATCGTTTTAGGTGTAATAGCGGCACTGTAGGGTCGTCTTAGACGATACATCACTGTCAAAGGACATTGTATTGAACGTTTATTATGAAACATCGGTGACCTTTGTTTTGAAACTCTTCAGTTTCACATCACCTTACAATCACATTATTCTAATTACCAAATTACTTTCAAATGGATCACTCGAAAGAGAAAATATGGAAAATAATTGCTGTTTCAGATAGTGGATCGTAATTTTAGAAATTAAAACGATAGATACTTGAAGAAATGTACAATGTAATGGAATAAATGTTTATTCATTCTCCTATAGAAAACCACGGTAAATTTTCAGAAATCTAGTCGAGTGTTACAATTTTTATTAGAAATTACGAATGGATCATTTTGACCATTTGGGGGTAGTTCTAGTGTTAATTGGACCATGCGCGGGAGTCCATACAAACTTTGTTTTCATTCAAATAAGTAGGAAAAGTTGATACGTGATAATGAAGAATACGTTACAGGCTAAGTTGTTCCGAAAAATAAAATCGTTACGCGACAAAATGGCGATTACTTACGATCCTAATATCTACGAAACATAATTAGGTGTCTCGTTTCAGAACATTATGCGTAACAAATTAATTGTATGATAAATATAATGTGATAAAGTTTGCATTAATTTTAATTATTCGTTGATCAACCGTCACCGGTGGAAGGTACAAAAAGAATGTTTCTGTCGCAGCGGAATATACGGCAAACGACGGCGAACAAATTTCCTTCGACAAGCCGAATTCCGCGCGCAGATAAATGGCGATGGGCTCCGCTCGATGGGTTCGATTCAGAATTTAAAGGATTTCGGGGGATCCCTCGCTGCCTCGAGCGCAACGAGCGCGTTTTGTTAAGCCGCGAACGGGGACATACGGTGAACGATGTAGCTTTCAATGGACGGAGGGATCCGCGTACGCCTGCATAGATACGCACTACGCGTGCTTAATTTTCGCGTTAGCCCGGCTAATCCGTCGACCGTATAAAGAATTAAACAAATCGATCCGAGATAGCGCAATCCTCGTCACCTTGTTCCACGCGAAACGCTGCACGTGGTTTCTCTGAATTTAGAAACAGAAATGAACATAGAAGTATTGCGAATATTCACGACGAACACGAATGATGATAATAATAATAGTGTTTAGCGTATAATACAAACTTCGATATTGTAAAGTTATTTCGCTAGTGCCTTTAAGGCAACGTGGTCCTAAAGCCATTAACGAGACTAATGAAGTAAGTGCCGACCACCGTTTTGGATGCAAAAATAAGAAGTAACAGCCCACCAATCAGAAAAGGGAAATTTTCTGATTGGCTGGCGGCTAACATTTCAAGTTACATTTAAGCCGACGAATTTTGTAATTTTAAGCGTACGTACACCAGACGTAAGACGTAAGACGTACGACAGACGTAATTTGGACGTATTTGGAACTTTGGCAGCACACAACGTGCAACGCTGGTCCTTCGAGCAAAGCCGGCACTTGACGTGCAAGTTCACCAAAGGCTTGAAGATCTCACGATCACCACAAGCCCCAACAAACAGTAATGTCTTTATTACGCAATCGATACAAGTTTTTCGACACTTGAGTATTTGAGTCAAGAATCAAGTATTTGATCGATCTCGTAAACGCATATAACGTTTAAATAATTTCGTTTTAGTAGAAGTCAAACACTCGAGTGTCAGATTCGAGGCGTCTAAAAATAAGTAGCTGCCTGTGTTTTTGGACATAATATAATAGAAACAAGGGATAGAAAATTTCGAGACAATTGATTACACGTACTGAACCGTCAACGTTTATTATTTAGCAAGACCTCGTGCGGCGCACAGATTATCCTTGGTAACAGGTTCCACTACACGTAGACGTTAGATGACCGTTCACGTAACACCCTGAAACAGTGCTAATTGGCCCGTTGCGAGGGGTAATGTGCGAAAGCACTCGTAGCATTTCCCACACCGCCCTAAGCCAGACTTGCTTCCGTTTGTGCTTCGATGTACCCAGAAAGGAGGATTAAGTTCTCTTAATTCCTTCCATTATTTTTATAATTCTCCTCGCCACGCGTGGGCGAACATTTAACATGGAAATTAATTTCATCGCAACGAATTCTCCCAAATTTTATTTAAATCGAATAAATATTAATACGCGGAGCAGCTGTTCTTGACCTTTTCAATGTATAATAATTGCTTCTCAACAAAACTTGCACGATTCGCTCCAAAGAAACGAGAATAAGTTTACGAGCTTTTCAGTCTCGATTCTAGCCAAATTGAATATTTAAATTTCCCACGGATTATTTACTTTTCTCTGACAAACTAGATGGTCTAAATTTTTATTGATATTCGTTCACATTTGTACGGTTTCCGTGAAAAATTTTGAGAAACAAATGTCCCGTTACGTTCTTTTTCTCGTATAATAAGCAAACTCCTCGCGATCGACGAGAAATAAGGTCAACCTACGCGAAATCTCAGATGCCACAATAGGTTGGGTCAAGGCGTAACGATTCTAAATAGATGCCCGGAACTCCCAAAAGGCAGGAGTCCCTCGATGGTCCAGAAAAGCGTTTTATCTCACAGGCAAATGCTGCACTTAAACCCTTTACCTCCTCGTACCAACGATTCCTTCTTTTATACGTCGTCCTCGTTATCGCATCTTCATCCACGTTTCTCTTAAACCCTACGATTCGAATTAACAATTACCGAATTATAATTCGAAAGGCGAATAAATTTTGTTCGGAAAAAAACCACATCGCAATTTCAACTGCAACGTATACGTATACCATAGAGATACGAAACGGGTCAAAATTGACCCGCCCTCGACGACGGACCGTCGACCGAACGGGATTTTAAGAGGATCGGTCGTCAGGGCTCGAGTATAACGATTTAAAATCGATGATCTCCAATTGCGAGAGGTGAAGGCCACCCCAGAGTCCAGAAGGGTGCTTCGCCTCGCGGGCAAGTACCCCAAATTTAAATCGTCGCTTCCACGACACCAGTGAATATCCTCTGGGCGATGGCGAGAGAATCCGAAGAGGCAGGGTGAAAAGAGGTGCGGGAGGGAGGCCCGGGGGAAACAATTTACCCGAAATTCGCCTCGTCGCGTTTGGCGACTGGATACACTCTTATTTGTCCCCTCGGCAATCTGTCGACTCCGAACGCTCAACCCCTTCTCCTCGTTTCCTCTTGGTCCTCCACCGCCTTTCCAGTAAACCCCTTCAACCCCGATCCCCACCAGCCCCGTTCTCTTCTATTTTCCCACCTCCTCTCCCGAAGCGCGAAACCGCGAAGCCTCACGGGAATTTTAAACACCGGTGATTCGTCGGTGTTCCTTCAGGGTGTTTCTCTCTCTTTCCGACTCTCCCTCGCTCTCTGCGCTCTCCCGTTTTTCCTTTCCCTGTGACTCTCTTTTTCTCCTTTGTGTTCTTTCACTGTTCCACAGTCTCACGTTCGTTTTTTTTTTTTCTTTCCGTCCCTTTTCCGTCTACCGGAATACCGATCCACAGAGACGACGACGTATCGTCGCCGCCGAGACAGCCGTGGCGCTTCCCATGGCGACAATGCGGTAACCATCCGAATTGTACGGCGCCCTATCTCTTCGTCGACACGAGAAAATCGTGGTCGTAGCGTCGGCGATGTTGTCTTTGGAGGAGGGGACGACACCGCCTCGACGTCAGCGCGCACCCTCTTTCATGGGGCTAAGGGCGCTCCACCAGAGGTACTTACGCATTGGTAATCTTATAACGAACCTGGCCTGCAAATTAATCCGTTTGTTGGGATCGGGCATGGGGTCTGGAATCGCAACTGACACACCGGCGTCAATCGATATCGGGACCATGCATTCTTAATTCCTGACCCTTGGATACGCTGCCCTTTATTCGCCGGC